CCTCCTCCGCCTCCTCCTCCTCCTCCTCCTCCTCCTCCTCCTCCTCCTCCTCCTCCTCCTCCTCCTCCTCCTCCCAGCCCTCCTCCTCCTCGTGCCACAACACCGCCTCAGGCGACCGACCGACTCGCCCCCCCGCTGGACCGCCGCCGCTCCCGCGGCAGCCCTCCCCGCCGCGGGGGCGGCGGCCGAGCTGCTCCGGGAGAGGCCGCACCTCCGCTCCGCCGCCCACGGCCCGCGTCGGCCGCCACCCGCTCTCCTCCTCCTCCTCCTCCTCCTCCTCCTCCTCCTCCTCCTCCTCCTCCTCGTCTCGTCCTCCTCCTCCTCCTCCTCCTCCTCCTCCTCCTCCTCCTCCTCCTCCTCCTCCTCCTCCTCCTCTTCCTCCTCCTCCTCCTCCTCCTCCTCCTCCTCCTCCTCTCCTCCTCCTCCTCCTCCTCCTCCTCCTCCTCCTCCTCCTCCTCCTCCTCCTCCTCCTCCCCTCCTCCTCCTCCTCCCTCCCTCCTCTCCTCCCTCTCCTCTCCTCCTCCCCCTCCCCTCCTCCTCCTCCTCCTCCTCCTCCTCCTCCTCCTCCTCCTCCTCCTCCTCCTCATCCTCCTCCTTCTCCTCGGCCGCCACCCGTCCAGACCCACGCGCTCGGCGCCGGCCTACTCCTCCTGTCACTCTTGCCTAGGGTCATTCTTGCGTGTCACCGATGCAGCGCGGGGAATCAGCGTGATTGAGGCCCGCCTCCAGGGCGCTTCGGACAGGTCTCCGGGATGGCCGCGGAGGGGCACGCCGCGGCACGTGCGGCGGCGCGACGGCGGCGGCGGTGAAGACGATGCCGGCGAGGACGGCGAGGACGGCGACCTCGGGAGCGATCCGGACGACCTCCTCGACGACAGCCCTCGACGGCGGCGAGGACGACGAAGACGAGACGACGACGACGACGACGACGACGACGACGACGACGACGACGACGACGACGACGACGACGACGACGACGACGACGACGACGACGACTGCGACGATGACGACCACGACGACGACGACGACGACGACGACGACGACGACGACGACGACGACGAGGGGAGCGATGACGACGACCGCGCGATCGGCGTCGCCGCTCCATTCATCGACATCGTCCTCGTCCTCCGTCGTTGGCGGCGCGCACAAGGGGGTATGGGGGAGGGGGGAAGACTTCTGAGAAGGAGGCTGCTTCTTACAAGGCGGCGGCCTTACATCTGCAGACAAGGTCCGCGCCTTCCACGAGCTTCTAAGAAGCCTTCCCCCCTCCACCTACCCCCTTTGTGCGCGCCGCCAACGTCGTCTGTCGTCCTCGTCCACTCTGAAGTCGGGCATGTCCCTCTAAAGGAGGAATATTCAAAACTGGTCAGAAAATAATGAGCGAACGAATCCTCGATTATGTTTCGACTCTGTTCGAGCAGTTTCTGACTATTTTCCATTCTACTTCACAAAATCCGCCTGTAGGGGGACATGCCCGACCCAATCCTCCGAGTGCCGCCGAGCGCTGAGGTCACCTACTCGCCGCCGTGCTGGCGGCCCAGAGACGCGCCGCGCCCCCGCGAGCCGCTGGGCGTGCCCCTGCAGCTCAGCGAGGCGCCGCCGCCGCCGCCGCCGTCGTCGTCATCGTCGCCGTCCATCGCCCCTGGATCTGCTCGCGTCTCCAGATCTCTGGCGATATGGACATGTTCCATGCGGGCGTTTTTCCTCCTCCTCCTCCTCCGCCTCCTCCTCCTCCTCCTCAGCCTCCTCCTCCTCCTCCTCAGCCTCCCCTCCGCCTCCGCCTCCTCCTCCTCCTCCTCCTTCCTCCTCCTCCTCCTCCTCCTCCTCCTCCTCCTCCTCCTCTTCCTCCTCCTCCTCCTCTTCCTTCTCCCCCTACTCCTCCGCCTCCGCCTCTCGGTATCTGCTGGCTTCCGCAGATCTGATTGTTTCAATGTGGGCGTGTTTCCTTGATTTCGGCTCCGCGGGGCCCGTCATCGGGCGGGCCTCGGGACCATCAGAATTAGATCCAGGGCGACAAACTGGCCCCCAGGAAGGGGCCGAGACCTCTGGGGCCGCCCATCGTGACAAGCAGATCGGCGGTTGCCTGGGCTCTTCGCCCCGTGGGCTATCAAGACGCGGGGTGCTCCTCTGTTTCCGGCCTCTGGGGGGCCCTCGCTGGGCCTCTGGGGCCGTCCAAGAACGAACCAGGATGAGACACCGGCCCCCAGGAAGTGGTCCGAGGCTCCGCGGGTTCACACTGCAACAAGGAGTCGCGACGTCGAAGGGCCGGGTCGCCCGCGGGCGCCGCCCGTGCGGGCCGGGGCAGGCGGGGTGCTCTCACTGCGCCCACGTGGATGCGGCCGCCCGTGGCCTTCGGGAGCTGGTGGCCTCCTCGACTACACCTAAGAGTGACCCTTCGCCGGAGTGACCTTTGGTGCGGGCTCACCAGGGTCCCCCAGACCGCTGAGCGCGATGCGATAGTGGCTGCTTGCGCCCTTGGATTTGGCCACCTTGCGCCCCCTCAGTCCGCGCACTAAAGGTCACTCTTACCCAGGGTCACTCTTGCGTGTCGCCGAGCCTCCGCTCTTGCCTCGACCTTCACCTTCCGAGCCCTCCGCGCAGCAGATGCTGCCGCGGCTGGGCCGCGGCGGCGGTCGAGACCGCCACTGCAACCTCAACAGCAACCGCCACTGTGGCCGCGCCGGCGGGGGCCGCTGCGCCGAGTCTGGCGTCCAGAGGGTGCGGAAGGTGGAGGTCGAGGGGAAGACGACATCTTTTGCCAGTCCACTCGCATCCCGGAGTCGCTCTTGAATCGGAGGTTGATAAACTTCCTATCCTGACACGTCGATTAGCGAATTGGCCGTTTTCGGTTCGCGAGAGGGCGTCGCGGCCGTCATTTTGCGGGTCCAGGTCCGTCGGTTTCGGTCCTAAGTTGTTTTCACTAAATGGAGGTTTACTAAAGGGAGGTTTGTCCACCGCCAATTGAAGCTGGTCCCCCCCTATGAGGGCGCCCGACACGGGCCCCCCCGAGGCCGCGGCGGGGGAGGCGCCTCGGACGGCGGCAGCGACGGCGCAGCCCCGACCGTCCTCCAGAGGCCCACACTGATGGGCCGATGTCCCAGCACCACTACCATAGGTAGGAGCAGGAGGAGGAGGGAGGAGGAGGAGGAGGAGGAGAAGGAGGAGGAGGAGGAGGAGGAGGAGGAGGAGGAGGGAGAAGCAGGAGGAGGAGGAGGAGGAGGAAGAGGAGGAGGAGGAGGAGGAGGAGGGAGGAGGAGGAGGAGGAGGAGGAGGAGGAGGGGGGGGAGGACCTCCCAATCCTTCCTTCTCCCCCGTCCAATCTGCGCCTGCACACCAGCGGCGCCTTCCAGCAGCCGCGGCGTGCACGCCCCTGGCGACGGCCACTCGCTCGATGGTGCAGGGCTTCCGGGCGCGCTCCGCCGCTCCGCCCAGGCCCCCCATCGCGGTTTGAAGGGAGCAGGGCGGAGGGTTTTTTTTTGCTGCTGCTGGCCGGTGGTTGCTGTGGAGATACGGGAGCATCTGCGAGGATGCCAAGGTGGGTGTATGCCTGGCGGAGCTCATTCCCTCCCCCCCCTCTCTGTTAACTCAGGTTTCGCGCGGCCCGCTCGGCTTCGACCGGAAGAGGTGCGCTCTCGACCCGCGAATCAAAAAAAGTATATGCCTGGCTGAGCCTATGTTACAAGTGAGTTGCAGCTGGCCCAAGTGGCCTAGGATGGTCAAGGTGGGTGTATGTCTGGCTGAGCCTACGGTGCAGGTGAGTTACAGCTGGCCCGAGTGGCTTATGATGGTCAACCATCCAGGCCAAGTGGGCCCCGCCCACTTGGCGGACCTTTCAAGCCCCCGAAGCCATTGTGGGCACTCGTAACCCACTGATTCAGCTGCCTGCGGCAAACCGCGCCACCGTGCCTGTGCAACAACGCGGCAGGAAGGAGGCTGAGTGTAGGAACAGCGCAATTCCGACGAATGCTCTGATAAGGACGGGTCGTGAACTCGGCCTCGCCTTCGTCCGCGCGATATCGAGGAGGAGGAGGAGGAGGAGGAGGAGGAAGAGCAGGAGGAGGAGAGAGAAAGAGAGAGAGAGAGAGAGAGAAGAAAAAAAAAAAAAAAAAAAAAAATGAGGACGTGGAGGAGAAGGCGTTTGGGACCCTCGTGGGACCTCCAAGGGGCCTCTTGGGAGCCTCCTGACAGCCTCTTGGGGGCCTCCTGGGGCCTCTGGGGGCCTGCTGGGGCATCTTGGACCAGCTTAGGGAGACTCTTGGCTCGTCTGACGCCTTCGGGGGCCGTCTTTGGGGGCTCCCTGGCCAGTCTTGGTGAACTGGTGGAGCGATTCAGGCCCGTCTTGGGGCCCAATTGGGAGGCTCTTGGGCGATCTTGGGATCCTCTTGGACCAACTTGGGGCCCTCTTGGGGCTGCCTGGGAGCTATCTCAGAGGCCTCGTGGGCCATCTTGGGCGGTCGGAAACCCAAACAGGCGAGAACGTCAAAATGTGCGATAACATTAAAAAAGTGTGTGCCTCTTCGGGCTCGCTTGGAGGGCCTCTTTGAACTCTCTTGGAAGTCTCCTGGGGCGTCCTGGGGGCTTCTTGGGGCCTCCTGGGCCATCTCGGGGGACTCTTGGCACGTCTGACGCCTTCGCAGGCCGTCTTGGGAGCCTCCCGCCGTCGTAGTGCGTTCTGGAAGCGCTTTAGGCTCGTTTTGCGACCCTCCTTGGGAGTTTCTTGCACGGTCCGAAGCACAAACAAACGAGAAACCGCAGCATCTTTCAAAAGCCCAAGATCAATCAATGTCTGTTGCTTCTTGGGGCTCTCGTGAAAGCCTCTTGGGCCGTCTTAGGGAGACTCTTGACCCGTCTGACGCCCGTCGGAGGCCGTCTTGGGGCTTCTCTTGACTGTCTTGGTGCCCTCTTGTAGTTCTTTAGGACCGTCTTGGGGGTCCTAGGCTGTCTTAGAGCCATCTAGGAGGTCCTTGGGCAGTCTTGAGCGGTAGGGAACCCAAACAGGCGAGAACGTCAAACATTTGCGATAACCTTGGGAAAATCAATGTTGCGTGCCTCTTCGGGCTCGCTTGGAGGGCCTCTTAGAGCTCTCTTGGAAGTCTCTTGGGGCGTCCTGAGGGCTTCTTGAGGCATCTTGTGCCGTCTTGGAAGGGGCCCTTGGCCCGTCTGACGCCTTCGGAGGCCGGCTTGGGAGCCGTCTTGGGAGCCTCACTGGGCCGTCTTGGTGCCCTTTTGGAACGCTTTCGGGCCGTCTTGGGGCCCTCTTGGGAGCCTCTTGGGCGATGTTGGGGTCCTATTCGGCCGACTTGGGGCCGTCTCACGGGCCTCATAGGCTGTCTTGGAATTATCTTGGAGGCCCCTTGGGCCGTCTTAAGCGGTCGCAAACCCAAACAGGCGAGAACTACAAAATCTTTTTCACTAAAGACCAAAAATGGAAAATCAATGGTTTTGGCACCTCGGGCTCTCCTGAAGGGCCTCTTAGAGCCCTCTTGGGCTGGGCCGTCTTGGGGGCCTCTTGGGCCGTCTTGAGGCTGTCTTGAGGCTGTCCTGACAGCTTCTGGAGCCGTCTTGTGCTATCTTGAGCCGCTCTGGTGTCGTCTTGGTTCTGGTGTCGTCTTGGTTGTCTCGGAAGCCGTCTTGGCCGTCCGGAGGCCGAGAAGAGCGCTGGGGGGCAATTTCAGGGGAGATGGTCTCAGAGGGATGCGTGTAATGAGGCGGGGGGTCGGCCCCTGAAACCTCAAGAGTCTGGCAGACAGCAGACGAACAGTCTAGCACGCCCACTCTGTGCAGGCACGGTGGCGGATAGGCCGCCAGGTTGGGCCAGACATAACCCACCTTGGCATCCACTGGCACCCCCGCCCTATATACCCCCTCAGCAACCCCCGCGCCCATGCCAGTGGGGGCCCACGTTACGAACAAAAACATGACGTCGTCGGGGGCCCCGATCCCCGACGCCACGATTGGGTTCGTAACGTCGACCCCCAAGGGTCTGGACCCCTTCCCCGCGACCGGTTCTTCATCCTGAGTCGTTGTTTGATGGTCTCGGGGCCCGGTAGGGGCCCCTGGGGGCCAAAAATACCGAGAAGACAGATCGTCGCGATTTCTTCATGACCCGAGGGGTCTGCGTGCGTGATGAGTCAATTTTCCACCATCACTACCATAGGTAGGACGGGGGAGAAGGGAGGATTGGGAGGTCCTCCCCCCCCCCCCCTCCTCCTCCTCCTCCTCCTCCTCCTCCTCCTCCTCCTCCTCCTCCTCCTCCTCCTCCTCCTCCTCCTCCTCCTCCTCCTCCTCCTCCTCCTCCTCCTCCTCCTCCTCCTCCTCCTCCTCCTACCTAATGGTAGTGGTGGTGGGACATCGGCCCGTCAGCGTCGGGCCTCGGGAGGACGGTCGGGGCGGTGGCCGTCGCCGGGGGCGTGCCCGCCGCCGATGCTGGAAGGCGCCGCTTCTGCGCAGTGCGCAGACTGGAGGGGTCTGCGAGTGGGCCTCCGGAGGACGGTGGGGCTGCGCCGCCGCCGCCGCCGTCCGAGGTGCCTCCCCCGCCGCGGCCTCGGGGGGGCCCGCGTCGGGCCCCCACAGGAGGGGCTTCAAGAGCGACTCCGGGGTGCGAACGGAGTGGCAAGAGAGGTCGTACATTCCCGGACCCCCCTCGGCGTCGGGAGAAGAATCACGACGCGAGGTTCTTCGCTATGTTCGGCCTCCAGAGGCCGTTCGCCGGCCCCGGGGCCGTCGAAAAACGACTCGGGATGAGAAACGGGTCCCGGGGAAGGGGTTCAGACTTCTGGGGGTCGACATTGGGAAAGAAATCACGACGTCGGGGGTTTGGGTTCCCCTCGACCTCCACCTTCCTCACCTTCCGGACGGCCGATGCGGCGCAGCGGCCGCCGCAGTGGCGGCCGCCGTCGAGGCTGCAGCGGCGGTCTCGGCGGTCGCCGCGGCCGCGCCGCGGCGGCACTTGCTGCGCAGAAGGTTCGGAAGGTGGAGGTCGAGGGTCAGGAGGTTCGATGTGAACGCGCGTGTGCAGCCAACAAAAAACATCGTCGGATGTCTGGGTGGTCTTCCCCAGACACCCCGACGTCGCAGTTTTGTCGCAACGTGGACTCCGAGAGGCCTGGGCCCCTTCCCGGGGGCGGGCGCTTCATCCTGAGGCGTCTTTTGGCGGCCCCGAGGCCCAGCAAGAGCCCCCCGAGGCCGAAGTCCATTCGCGAGAAATCCTCCACCGTGATGTTTGCTACGCCGCGAGGGGGCTTGGCCCGGAGATCCGACGCAGCAAAAAAATCGCAGCACCGCGAAAGTCACGACCAGAATTAATTATTCGGCCTCTGTCCCTGGTCGCCGTTCCCCGGCTACCTGACGCGTCCGACGCCTTGCATATTTGCACGCTGGCAGTACGACTCAGTTTCAGCCAGCCCCCTCCACTCGCCGGTCCGCCGCTGAGGTGCTGCGTGAGGCTCCGCTTAGCCGCTTTAGGCGAGGCTGCGCCCCGTTGCTCTAGGTGAGTTTGTCGCTGCATGCCCCGCTTTGACTGGACTCGCCGCCGGCGCGCTCGCCTGCGGCCGCTGACTAACAAGAAAATCACGACCAGAGCCCCCCAGACCCCGTCCTCCCGCACCACACGCTGCGAGCCGCATCGAGCCGGGGGGGCCCGAGGCCGGGCGCCAGCGCCCGCCTCGGCCAAGCGCTGCGACGCGAGGACCCTCAGGGCAACGGGGCCTGGGCCTGCCGACGGGCGCGCGGCGCGCGGGGCCGCCGAGAGGCCCGAGGCCGCCCGGCGGGCCGCCCCCCCCACGGCCGGCCCGCCGGCGCCGGCGTGGCCCGAGCTGCTGCAGAGGGCGTCGGCAGCCAGGCCCCCCCCCCGCTCCGCCGAGGGAGCGCCCCGCGCCCCCCCCCCGGCGCGTGGCTGGCCGCCCGGGCCGCCGGCCGCGCCGTCTATAGCCCCAGACGTCCGCCGGCCGGGTTCTCCTCAGCCACGCGCAGAGGGGGGTGGGGGGAGGGGGGAGGGCTTCTTAGGAGAGTACCCCACCCCCTTGTGCGCGCCGCCAATCTCCAGCGCGCGCTCTCCCGCAGGGGATCCCTCGACCGCCTCCGTCCGAACCTTGCGCGCACCGGGTGCCGCCCTGGCGGGGCCGCGGCCACCGCCGAGGCCGCCGCTGCGGCCTCGACGGCCGCCGCCACTGCGGCCGCGCTGGCGGCGGCCGCGGCTCGGCACCCGACGACCGGAACTCTCGGAAGGTGGAGGCCGAGGGGTCGGCGCTGGGGTTGCGGGGGCGCCTCCAGGTCCGAGGTTGTCGGAGCCCTCGTCGGTGCTCGGCATAGGTTTCGCCAGCCTCGGGAGGCGCTCCGGCGGCTCCAGCTCGGCCGAGGGCGCTCCCGGGGGCGCGCGGAGCCCCGGTCGTCCCGGGGGACCGCCAGAGGCCCGAGCTGGGGCCCGAAAGCGACCTGGGACGGGGGGTGCCGTCGGGGCGCTGGCCTAAGGAACCCGAGATCAGGAGCGAGGCCCCTAGGATTTGCACATAGATCATGTCTAAGTCTTCGAAGGTTCCTTGAATCTTCGGGGGGGGCAGGGTCCTCTCATGTCTACTTCTTCTATCCTGGGCCTCTTCCTGGCCACTAGGGGGCCAGGAACGATTAGAAACGAGAACAATTAGAAATCAGCACGATCAGAAATGAACGACGTGTAATGAACCCTAAATAAAGAACGAGGCCCTTAAGATTTATGAAAACCTCGGGACAATCTGAGGCAAACTGCCAAACTGTCAAGGAACACCGAGTCCCTCCCCAGCGAAGATGATTCCTTCTTCAGCGCCCAGACGGTATCGGGATCGGCGCGGGGGTTGCTAAGGGGATGGGGGGTCCCCAGTGGATGCCAAGGTGAGGGTTACATCTGGCCCAACCTGGCATCGAAGTGAGTCACCACTGCAGCAAGTGGCTTAGGGGCGTTAGAGAAATCCGCTATATGGGCGGAGCCCATTCAGCCCTCACCCACCTAAGCCACTTGGGGCAGCTGTAGCCCACTTATTACCTAGGTTAGAGTAAATGTAACCCACCTTGGCATCCACTGATAGCCCCCTATCTCCTTAGTCTCCTCCTCCCCGATCCCAGCAGAGGTCCCGACCGCTTTCCCTACCCGAAGATCCTGGCGTCTCCATATTTTTCAAGCAAGGCGTTTTCGCCGGGTTTCGGGCCCCGGGACCCTCACAGATCGATTTGGCTCGAAAGATGTTGCAGAAACATCGCGTTTGGGGCTCTGGTCCCGGTTTTTCAAGATGCTGTACGTTTTCGCTACGCCGGATCTCAGGGTAGCTTCTCGCCCCAGATCCATTCTGATGGTTCCTAGGCCCTGCAGGGCCGAACTCGAAGAAACGTCTGGATTGAAGAAACCCGTCGTCGGAGATCTGGGCGATAGGCCCAGAAGCCCACGCGCACGCGCAATGTACACCGCCGCCCCGCCGCCCTCCGCTGGCGCCTGGGCGCCCATGTCCGCGTCCCGGTGTCTGCCGATCACGCGATCGGCGATCGCAGATCGCAGGGGTCGGGGGAGAACGTGATCGCCAATCACGTGATCGGCCTGGCTTGCTCACACAATTGTCCGAGCTCGAGTGTGCGTGATCGATCCATTATCGCCGCGGCAGCTGACGTGGTCGGGGCTGCGATCGCACCGCGAGATCGCCCGAGGGATCACTGAGATCCGACGACGCGGGAAAGTTGTGACATCATGAAAAAATACGACCCGAGCCCCAGACTCCATTTTTCTGCGCCAGTTTTCCAAGCCGGATCGATCTATAATGATCCCGGAGCCCGAATCCAAGCAAAAACGCCCAGCTTGAAAGAATTGAGACGTCAGGATCTCAGGGTCGGCCGAGCGATCGGCCAGATAGTAAGGTCCGCGTCCCCCCGGCCCGGCGCTGGCGGCTTCGGCGGGGGAGGCCAGCGACGTCCAACCGATCCCCATCCCCATGTGGGCCATGGAGCCTGAGCCCCACCAGGTCACCCGCCTTGGCGGGGTGGGTCCTGCGAGACCCGAAGGGGAGAGCATATATGATCCAGGGTGTCGGGTGCCCACGTCCCCCCCCCCCCAGATGGTATGGGTCCCAGGGTTCCCACGTCCCCCCCCAAGATGGTATGGGGGGGGCGGCGGCGACGACGACGGCGACGACGACGACGACGACGACGACGACGACGACGACGACGACGACGACGACGACGACGACGACGGCGACGGCGACGGCGACGGCGACGGCGACGGCGACGGCGGCGGCGACGACTGCGAAGACGACGTCGACGACGACGACGTCGACGACGACGACGACCGACGACGACGACGACGACGACGACAGTGAAGACGACGACGATGACGGCGCTGCCTTTGCTGACACGACTACGCCAGAGACGCGCACGCAAGCGCGCACGCGCACGCGCACGCGCACGCGCACGCACGCACGCACGCACGCACACGCACACACACACACACACACACACACACACACACACAGAGATACACGCACACAACCACCACGCAACGCAGCACATCATACCACACCCAAAGGGGGGGGCCACGCACGTACGTGCGCAAACCACCACTCCACCGCACACCACCACGCCACGCACAGGGGGGGGGGGGGGCGGGGGGCGGGGGGACACACTTACGCACCACCACACCACGCCGCACCCCCAGGGTGGGGGGGCGGGGGGACAGGCGTGTAGGCACGCACGCACGTGCGCAAACCACCACAGCACACCACGGGGGGGCACCCATCATGCGGGGGGGAGGGGGGGGGCTGGACACCGTGCCATCTGGCGGGAGGGGGAGGGCAGACCCTGGACCATACGTGATCCAGGGTCTGGGCCCCCCCTCTTCTGTCATGCCGATGCCTTCGGGCCCCCCCGCCACCACCCGCGCGAGGGTCCCCTCCCCCCTGGGCGTGGCGCGGTGGGCCGCACCCCAACGCCACGGTGAGCGTCCCACACAGTTGTTTCTGTTGTGCCTGTTTCCCTTGTTGTTTTTCTTTTTTGTTTCTCTCCCTGGTACCCCTGGGCCCTCGGTCAACTTGTACGTCATCCACACAAAGAGCCCTCTGGTGGCGGATTACATAAGAATTCCTTCTTTGGCGGATTGCAGAGGAATCCTTGTGTGTCAGAAACGTGAAAGCCACATGCGATGTGGTCTTCTTGTTCTGTCCCTTCTTACGTTATATTTACTTTTTCCCTGGTAGCCCTGGACCCAATAGGATTTGGTCGGTGGCGGGTTACAAAAGGGATCCATCTGTGGCGCGTTACAACCAGATTCCTTATGCGACGGATTACAAAAGGAGTCTTTGTGTGGCGGATTGCAGCAGGACTCCTTTTTTTGTGGCGTGGTCGGTAACGCAAAACTTGAGATACCGAAACATGTTCATATAAGCAAAAAGTGCGCGTACATTGGTGTTGTTTGTTGTTTCTGCTTCCCTGTTTGTTGTTAGGTTTCTGTGTTGTTTCCCTGTTACCCCTTGGGCCCTCGGTCAACTTGCACGTCCCCCACACAAGGAATCCTTCTGTGGCGGCTTACAAAAGGATTCCATCTGCGACGGATTACCAAATGAGTCTTCCTGTTGCGGATTACTGAAAGATTCTTGTTGTGGCGTGGCTGCTAGCGCAAAAATCAAAGTTTTGGAGAACTGAAAACTTGAGAGCTCCATACGTTTTTGCTGTTGTTTGCTTTCCTGTTTTATGTATCCCCGGTACCCTTGAGACCTCGGCCAATCTGTACGGCCGCCACAAAAGCATTATTGTTGTGGCGGGTCGCAAAAGGATTACAGAACGGAAAAGGGGACAAGGCGTAAAAGAGGCAGGAAGGAAAATGCACAGGACGAAAACGCGACAAAACGAGAAAGGAGACAGAACGAGAGGGGACAGAACGGAGAAAAGGATAGGACAAAGAAGTGATTGGACATAAAAGATTCACTTAACAAAAATGCGACAACACGAAAAGGGGAACTGGACGAAAAGGGGACAACGGAAAAAAGAACATGACAAAAAAAGGGACAAGACGAAAAATGCAGAGGACGACAATGCGACACAACGAAACAGGGGACGAGATGAGAAAGGAATAGAACGGAAAAAGGACAGGATGAAAAAGGAACAGGACGAACAAGTAACAGGAAGAACAAGGGACAGGACGAAAAAGGGACAGGACGAAAAATGGAAAGGACGAAGAGAGGACAGGACGAAAAAGGAGACAACGCGAAAATGGGAACAGGACGAAAGAAGGGAGCGCTGCGAAAAATATGTGGTTACAATGTTGTTGGTGTCGGCTGCTGGAGAAAAACGATGTTTCAATAAAAAAGCTGACCAGCTTCCGGAGCTCTAAAACGTTTTGATGTACATTGTGGTTCTACCTCCTCATGCAGAAAACGTTGTGGAACACAGCGCTTTCAGCATTCATAATTGAAGCGTTGCGTTTTACAGCGTTGTCTTGGCTTCGGAACCAAAAAACGATGCAACACATAGCGTGTTGGACCTCTGGATGCTGAAAACGTTTTGTCTTATAATGTGTTAGACTTCCCGATGCCGAGAACATTGTGATAAAATTGCACGTTCAGCATGCGTTCTAAAAAGTGTACCATGTTTTGGCTTCGGAATCAAAAAACATGTTGAGACAAAACGTTTGGGAGCTCTGGATGTTGAAAACGTTATGTGCTTGCAATGTTGTTATACTTCCCGATGTCGAAAACATTGTGAAGCACAGCGTTTTCATCACTCGAAGGTAAAAATGAAAGAATGCTGTGGTGTACAGCTTTTGCTTGCTTAGGGGAAAAACAGTGTACAACACATGTACTGGAGCTCTTGATGCTGAAACGTTGTGTTCGCACAGTGATTCGCAAGGTTCGACTCAAAACAATATCGAAAACACAAGACACGTTACACTTTTCATTGGTGTTACCTGGTTTTGTTGATTGTTTCCTTTCTCTGGTTTCCTCCTAAGTACCCCACACAAACACTAAAGAATGCCTCATGAGTTGAATCCCTAATGCTCTCCAGGAGCATGCAAGGCCGCCGCTAAGGATTCTCTGTTGCGGCGGATTTAAGGAAGATAGAAAGGGAAAGAGAGAGAGAGAGAGAGCGCCAGAAAGAGCTAGAGAGCCAGAGGTAGAAACAGAGAGCAAGCCAAATAGGGCGAGTTTTCTCACTTCCCCCCCCCTGTGCAGGGAGGTAGCGGTGGTGGTGGTGGCGGTTGTGGTGGTTGTAGTGGTGGTGGTGGTGGTGGTGGTGGTGGTGGTGGTGGTGGTGGTGGTGGTGGTGGTGGTGGTGGTGGTGGTGGTGGTGGTGGTGGTGGTGGTGGTGGTGGTGGTGGTGGTGGTGGTGGTGGTGGTGGTGGTGGTGGTGGTGGTGGCGGTTGTGGTGGTGGTGGTGGTGGTGGTGGTGGTGGTGGTGGTGGTGGTGGTGGTGGTGGTGGTGGTCGTCGTCGTCGCCGTCGTCGTCGTCTCCCCCCATACCATCGGGGGGGGTCCCGAGGGACCCTGCGTGTTGGGGCCAGGGCCTGGAGCCCGGGATCCTATATCCCCACCTGGGGGGGGGAAGGGTGTGAGTCGGCCAGCGGGACCCCAGGCCCCTGGGCATGCCCAGGGGCCCCGACGTCATAAATGCTCGCAGCGTGGACCCCCAGAGATCTCGACCTAGGACCCCCGACGTCATAAATGTTCGCAACTTGGACCCCCGACGTCATACATGCATCGTGGACCCCCGACGTCATAAATGTTCGCAACGTGGACCCCCTGGGCCAGCTTTTCATCCAGAGGGGTTTCTTGATGGCCCTGGGGCCCAGCAACGGCCCCCCGAGGCCGAAAACGGTTAAACCCAAAAAGCGCCGTGAATATTTCATGATTCGCGGGGGCCTGGGCATTGGGGTCGGCGCGGGCGGTGCCAAGAGGATAGGGGGGTCGTCGGTGGATACCAAGGTGGTTTATGTCTGGCCGAAACTAGCTCATTAGGGGGGTCGCATATGTCCCAAGTGGGTGAGGGGGGTAACCATCCAGGCTAAGTGGGCTCCGCCCACTTAGCGGGTTCACCTAACCCCCTGGGCCATCTGGGGGCATGTGCAACCCGCTGATAGGCCAGGCTCATCCAGATTAACCCACCTTGGCATCCGCAGATAATCCCCTATCCCCTTAGCCCTCAACCTCCACCTTCCGAACCTTCCGCGCACTGGGTGCTGCCGTGGCGCGGCCGCGGCGACCGCCGAGACCGCCGCTGCGGCCTCGACGTCGGCCGCCGTTGCGGCCGCGCTGGCGGCGGCCGCGGCGCGGCATGCGCCGCCCAGGGAAGGCTTGGAAGGTGGAAGCCGACGGGTGAACAACGCCCGCGCCGATCCTTGTGGGGATCGGCCCAACGATGCTCAGGCAACTTCGGCGGGGGATCCGCCGCGCCGCACCTGGCCACCGGTGGCACCACCGTGCACGGCGCTGGCGTCAGCATGGCTGGGCCGCCCGGGCTCGCCGGCGGCCCCAGCCTCGGCCCGCCGCTGGACCCAGACGGCGGTTGGCAGGCCTCGCCCCAGGACCCCATCGCGCCGTGGAACCATAAAGATCGAGGCGGGCGGTTCGAGGAGTCAGGTTTCCGGAGGTTTCCGTCAGTTCTCGGCGGCTTTCCGGGGATGCCCAGATCGTCCCGAACGGCCGCCAGAGACCAGAGTTATGGCCCGAAAACCGAGTAGCCCATCGGACGGAAGGTTTTTCTATATTTTCGGCATCTTGGCCATCCGAAAGCGGCTCATAATGGAAAGTCAATCCTGGGGATGTGATCCAGAACTCCAGGGGTGCACGCTGCGACGAAGGTGACAACAGACGACGTTGACGACGACGACGACGACGACGACGACGACGACGACGACGACGACGACGACGACGACGACGACGACGACGACGACGACGACGACGGCGCCGGCGCTGGCGCCGGCGACTACGATGGCGACGGCGACGGCGGCGGCGGCGGCGGCGGCGGCGACGGCGGCGACGGCGGCGACGGCGACGACGACGACGACAACGGGGGTCTGGGCCCCAGGACCCCTGCAAGGGCATGGGCGTGGCGGGCCTGTGCCTGGAGCCACGAGAGCAGCTCGTCGACTCGAGGTACCAGTACGTCGGCGAGGGGCGGGGCCAGTATGAGCAGGCTCGGCGATGGACGCTGGGCCTAGTTATCCCCCCTGCTGCCGCGCCCCACTCTGGGCGCCAGGAGGAGCAGGGGTATGGATAAAGATCGCGGCGCGTGGAGCAAGATCCTTGCCTCGAAGAAGACAAATGCCATAAACTGAAACTGTCGGCGCTCCGCGCGGATCTCTTGCATCCGCGCTGGACCCCCGCGGCGGCGCCTCCGGCGCCGCCCCTGGCGCGCTCCGCGCGCCAGGGAGGGGGGGGCCCAGCGCAGATCCAGGAGATCCGCGCGGAGCGCCAAAAGTTTATGTTTTTTATGGTGCTTCTCTTCCTCTGTGTATCCATGCCCCGCTCCAGCCCCAGGGTAGGGCAGGGGCGTGAGTTTATGTTTATGGCCTTTTCCTTCCTCTGATATCCATGCCCCACTCCAGCCCCAGGGTAGGGCAGGGGCGTGAGCAGGGGCGCGGACCAAGCGTGTCGGCCGCCCGCAGGTGCCCACGTACAACTACGTGGGCGAGGGCGCCGGCAGTTTTGACAGGGAGGCGTTCCTCGACCCCGCGGGGGCCTGGAGGCGGGCGACGCAGAGGAAGCCTGGTCGTGGGCACGGACACTGGCGCGCAGAGTCAACCCGCATCGGAAGGACGGGAAGCCTTCCCAGGGATACCCTGGCATCCTGGCCCCCCTGGGCCCATCCTCAGCGGCTTTCGCTGGCCAACCTCGCTCGAAGAGCTTCGGCATGGGCTCCCAAGGGCATCCAAGGCCCCTTGCATCCTTACCGCGCATCCTGAGGAGACGCGTTTGCTGTGAGCTGCCCGCGTCAGGTCGCGCGTGGGCGCCCTCGTTGCCCGCGCTGGCGGCCCGCGCTGGCGGCCCGCGTAAGCCACCGCGTGGGGTCGCTGTGTCGCTATGCCGTCTCGCGCATGACTCGTCTCGCTTTGCCGCTCGCGGTCGGTTCGTGCGGTGTCCGCGCGGCGACGTCCCCAGCGTCGGCGTTCGAAGCTGAATGCCGCCAGAGGCCCAGAATCGGCCGATATCGAACGATGTGCGCTGTCGCGAAGAAGGCATCGCTCCAGGTTGAACGGTCCACGCGGTGGTGTGAGAGACCAACGTCGAAGCCGCCACCACACGAACCTGCCGCAGGTGGAGGCTCCAGCTCTGCTGCATCCTCACGATGGCGTTCGCGATCATAGCGGCCCTGTTCTCGTGGGTGGAGCAGCGGCAGCCAGCGTCCCCAGACGCTGGCGCCCCCGCGGCCACAGCCGCATCCGAGGGCTCCCTCGTGCAGGCCAGTAGATGTCAGGGGCAACGTTAGGAACACTCTGAGATCCTGGCGTCGCATTATCTTCACCCTTGCAGATCGATCTGGCTCCGAAAAGTGTCGCAGAATGAGGGGGCACAGGGCTCTGGTCGTGGTTGCTCGCGATGCTCCATTTTTGTCCGCAGCGGCGGATCTCAGGGCAGGCTCAGGGAGGGATGCGTCGAGCCCCAATGGCCCACTCATCGCCGATAGGGGGCCCGCCAGCCCGCCCCGCCCGGGAACAGGCGGATCGCGCTATCGGGGACCCGTCGCCGATCTGGCACCGCGGATTCTCAGGAGGGGAAGAAGCACACAGACACAATTGAGCGTCGACTCCCAGGAAAATATTGGAAAATATGGGAATTGTGGGGAAGACAAAAACCCCGAAAATATGGAAAAGATGGGGAATCCTGTTATTTGTGTGTGTTTATGTGTGTGTCCCAGGGCCCCTTCAGATTCAGGCTTCCCCTCTGAGCCAGTCCCCACCGATCGTTCCCCTCTCGCGATGACGTTCAACCGCTGGGGGCGCTGTTCGTTTGAAAAAAATTGACGTCTGTTCAGTTTGGGAAGCAATTTTCGTCACGCTTTCTTGTCCAGCATGGCCACGTGGTTCACTTGCCCGTTGTCTTCCCGGCTCTGGTGTTATCGGCATCACAGTGACGCTTGCTTGAAGCTCAACTTCTGGGGTGCAGCTTGATTAGTCGGGTCGAACCCGAAAATAGAAATAGGGGTGAAAATATAAACAGCGCTTCCCAGACCTCCCATCCCTTGATGTGTTTAACACGGGGTCTCTAGAGTTCTCGACCCCTTTCCCAGGGACCAGTTTTTCGTCCCGGACAGTTTTGGTTCGACGGCCCCAGGGCTTGGCAAGGAGCACCAAATGCCGAAAACGATGAAGCTTCCGCCCAGAGTATTTCAATACGTTCGGGGTCTTGATTTTGATGGCAGCATTTCTTCAGCACGCGGCCCCAGAGATCCCCCCCCTTTCCCCATGGCCAGGTTTCCGCCCCATATCCGTGTTCGATGGCCTCAGGGGTGTCCGAAATCGACGAAAAAAACGCCCAGATTGAAACAATTGTTTTGATTTGCGGGTCGAGAGCGCACCTCTTCCGGTCGAGAGCCCAGATTGAAACAAGCATAGCTGGAAGATACCGAGACCACTACTCGCTGGACCTTTCCTGGGGTGCGCTCTGACCACAATCTCGAGGCCAACCCAGCCTTGACCACGAGGGCCTCCCAGGGAACCCCAAGAAAACAGAACGAAGCAAGGGCAATGGCATCGAGGCAGAACGCACACATTGAAAAAAACAGATCGTCGGAGATGTGGGCTCCCAGATCCCCGACGTAAGAGATTTGTTGCAACGTCGACGCCAGAAGTCCCGAACCACTCCCAGGAGCGGCTTCTCGTCCTGAGTCGGTTTCTTGACGGTCCCGAGGCCCCGTAAGGGCCATCTAACATTGAAAACAGCGACTCAACCCAAAAATGTGTTTGAATTTTTCAAGACGCGAGGGGGTCTGAGTCTGGGCTTCTGGGGACCCTTGTCGCCCTCGTCGTCGTTGTCGCCCTCGTCGCCGTTGTCGTCGTTTTCCTCTTCGCCTTCGGCGTCGTCTTCGTCCTCCCCGTCGTCATCGTCGTCCCCCCCGTCGTCGTCGTCGTCGTCGTCGTCGTCGTCGTCGTCGTCGTCGTCGTCGTCGTCGTCGTCGTCGTCGTCGTCGTCGTCGTCGCGCTCGTCGCCCTCGTCGTCATCGTCGTCGTCGTCGCCGCCGTCGTCGTCGTCGACGTCGTCGTCGTCTCATGGCTCTCTTCGTCGTCGTCGGCGTCGTCGTCGGCGTCGCAACCGCGGCCTCAGAGTTCCCGCCCGCTTCCCTGGGGGCAGCTCTCGTCCTGGATCCGCCTCAGGCGGCCCCCGGGCCCGACAATGGGCCCCGCGGGGCCAAGAGCGAGGGAAAAAACGCCTGGACCGAAGAAATCCTGTCGTCGGAGACCTGGGCTTTTCGTCGTCGCCCAACCGAGCGCACGCCCAGCGACCCCTCGTCGTCCCCCTCGTCGTCCTCGTCGTCGACGTGGTCGTCATCCTCCACGGCTTCCTGGCCTTCTTCGTCGTCGGCGTCGGCGTCGGCGTCGTCGTCCTCGTCGTCCCCGTCGTCTTCATGACCCTCCTCCTCCTCCTCCTCGTCGTCATCCTCCCCGTCTTCGTGGCCCTCCTCGTCGTCGGCGCCGCCGCGGGCGTCGCGCAGGCCACGGCGACCGCCGCCGCGGCCCCCGCACCCGTGCCCGGCGCGCAGCAGCCCGCTCTCGGCCTGCAGGCGCCCGACGGCACGCCGCAGGGCGCCGGCGCGGAGCGGGCGGGCGCCGGCGCGCCGCTGGGCGAGGCCCCAGGCAGCAGGGGGGTCCAGCAAGATTCGGCGAGGAGGGGGATCCTCCTCCTCCTCCTCCTCCTACTCCTCCTCCTCCCCCTCCTCCTCCTCCTCCTCCTCCTCCTCCTCCTCCTCTCCTCCTCCTCCTCCTCCTCCTTCCTCCTCCTCCTCCTCCTCCTCCTCCTCCTCCTCGTCCTCCTCCTCCTCCTCCTCCTCCTCCTCCTCCTCCTCCTCCTCCTCCTCCTCCTCCTCCTCCTCCTCCTCCTCCTCCTCCTCCTCCTCCTCCTCCTCCTCCTCCTCCTCCTCCTCCTCCTCCTCCTCCTCCCTCCTCCTCCTCCTCCTCCTCCTCCTCCTCCTCCTCCTCCTCCTCCTCCTCCTCCTCCTCCTCCTCCTCCTCCTCCTCCTCCTCCTCCTCCTCCTCCTCCTCCTCCTCCCTCGCCCCAGGCGGCGAGGGCCCCGGGCAGCAGGGACGAGCAGGATCTAGTCGAAGTCGGGAGCGGCAAAGAGGGGGGTGGTGACTAGGGGGGGGATCTCATGGCGGGGGCCATGATGTGTCCCCAGATTTCATGGCGCCTCCTCTTATTTCATTACGTCCCTGCCCCCCCCCCCTGGGCCGCGCACGTGCCGCCAGTCATGACTTGCGCCCCCCCTCTTGGACGCCCCCCTCTTGGCCGCTGCGAGTGGACTTCTTGGATCCGCACCAGGGCCCCCTGGCGGCGCCGCCCCTGGCGCGCTGCGCGCGCCAGGGAGGGGGGCCCAGCGCGGATCCAAGAGATCCGCGCGGAGCCCCGAAAGTTTATGTTTATACCGCTTTTCCTTCTTAGGAGGAGAAGGAGGAGGAGGAGGAGGAGGAGGAGGACATTGAGATCCTGGCGACTCCATTTTTTCGAGCTGGGCGTTTTCGCTCCGCTTCAGGCCCAGGGACCCTCACAGATCGGTCCGGCTCGAAAAAGGACGCAGAAAAACGGGGTCTCTAGGGCTCCGGGCGTAATTTTTCCCGGAAAGGGCATGGGCCCAGGGTTCTCTTTTAGTTGGTTTACCCCCGGTTTTTACTTGAAGGGGGCCGGCGGAATTCTTGTGCGATAAATTACGAGGTCGAAGGGGGCTGGCGGATTTCAATTGTGAGGACGAAGGCCATTTTTCGCCACCCCTCACGCAGATCGTGCTCTTGGAATTTTACTGCCTTTAAGGAAACCTCGATACTTCACAGGTGAAGTCCACTTTTTTCCGACATCGACTTTGAACGATAAAAAACAAGGTAAACGCGTTCGCTCGATAAATAACGAGGTACCGCGGCCTCCGGAACGGCGCTGGGAACAGAGTTCTGGATTCTTGAAGTTGCATAAGTTCGGAAATAGCAAAAATCCCCTGTGTTTTTTTACCCTGACCCCGCCGATCTGCGTGAAGTGCGGCACGGAATACCAGAAATGTCTCAAATCCCCTGTGTTTTTGGACCCTGACCCCGCCGATCTGCGTGAGGGGTGGCGCGGAACTCCAGAAATGTAGCAAATCCCATGTGTTTTTGGACCCTGACCCCGCCGATCTGCGTGAGGGGTGGCACGGAATTCCAGAACTGTTGCAAATCCCCTGTGTTTTCGGATCCTGAGTGTTTTTGTACCTTGACTTCGCCCAGGAGGGCCCAGGAGGCTCCAGGAGATCCCAGGAGAGCCCAGGAGGGCCCAGGAGAGCTCAGGAGGGCCCAGGAGGACCCAGGAGGCTCCAGGGGGCCCAAGGAGGGCCCAGGAGAAGCTCCAGGAGGCTGCAGGAGAGCCCAGGAGGGCCCAAGAGGTCCAAGGAAGACCCAGCAGGGCCCAGGAGCCCTTACGAGGGATCGTGGCCCTGGGAGCGCTGACGTAGCGTAATTTACAAGGGATCGTGGCCCTGGGAGCGCGGGCGCAGTGTAATTTACGAAGGATCGTAGCCCTGGGAGCGCGGACGCGGTGTAATTTACAAGGGATCGCGGCCCTGGGAGCGCGGGCGCAGCGTAATTTTTACATAGTTTGTTGAGGATGTCTCGAAGGAAACGCTGGTTTTGCAAAATTTGGGGATGTCTCGAGCGGGGGCTTCGTGGGGGGCCAGAATTCAAAGGATGTCTCAGGCGAAATGCTTGTTTTCGTGTCCCGCTCGCAGGAATTCCAAGGATGTCCCTCGCGCAGGAATTTCGAGGATGTCTCGACTAATTCGTTTGTTTTGCCAGGATGTCCTTGGATTATGACAGGATGTCTCGAGCGAAACGCTTGTTTTTCATAATTTGTTGAGGATGTCTCGAGCGAAACGCTGGTTTTGCAAACTTCGGGGATGTCTCGAGCGGGGGCCTCGTGCGGGGTCAGAATTCAGAGGATGTCTCAGGCGAAATGTTTGTTTTCACGTCCCGCTCGCAGGAATTCCGGGGATGTCTCGCGCGTGCCACGTCCCGCGCGCAGGAATTTTGAGGATGTCCCGTAGCGCGTCCCCTTGGCACGTCCTACGGTGCGACCCCATGGCACGTCCCTTGGCACGTCGCCTGGCGCGTCCCTTGGGACGTTTCGCGGCGCGTCCTCCTGGCATGTCCCCCTGTCAATTAGCTCTGGGGCAGCTACTATGTGTTCAGGCAGCTCGAGCTTCAGATCCAGATCAGTTCGGTCAGGACTCGGATGCAAAGGAAGACTCGATCCACAACGCTATAGAGCACAACCGCGGCATGGCACATCGCAATTCAGCACGGTGCAGCACAGCACAACCCTCGGCACGGTACATCAAGATCGATACAATCAGCATTGCACTTGCCCGTCACCCAATCAAGTGTCTTTGAAAACGTTGCCATGCGTTACATTTCTATCTTCCTTTCCGGGTTCGTGGGTCGATCATGTTCACGAAATTGCAACTTTTCGCTACGTCAGATGTCAGGGAGGGAAAGGGGAGGAAGAGGAGGAGGAGGAGCAGGAGGAGGAGGAGGCCTATCGATGCTGCTCTCCGAGCCAGTGTCCCCTCCCAGCTTCTTGCGCCGCGTCGGGGCCCCGCCATCCTGGGCCTCCCCGCAAAAGCTGGTACGGTCGGACCGAGGTATGTCGCATCGAGGTCGGTTCTGGGAGGGTACCCTGATGTTCTTCGTGCTTGTCGGATGTTCTTATGCATCCTGGGGAAGGGTGCCCTCGAATGTTTTTCCGTCTGGCACGCCGGAGGGTCTCGTGTTGGTGAGGGATGCTATTATGTCCTAGGTCCGGCCGTGGGAAATCGATTACAGAGTTGATATACCACACAATAGAATCTTTTATCGAGTCTACGAAAACCGGCGGCGAACGAGGGGGGGAAGCGAGAAGGAGACGGCCTTCTTAGAAGGTTCGGAAGTCCCCTGACTTCTGTGAAAAGTTGTACAAGCCTTCCCCGAAAATGTTTTATTATCTTTCTTTCGAAAAAAATAAAAACACATAAAATTAAACAAACAACAAAAAGAATAAAAAACAATACAAAAAAAACAACAAAACAAAAAAAAGCGCGAGGGTTTCTGAGAAGTCCCGCCGCCCTCTCAGGGGGCCTTCCGCCTCTCGCTTCCCCCCCTCGCTCGCCGCCCAGAGAAGCACGCAGAATGCCGGCGCGCCGCAGGCAGAACCCAGACCTCATCGAGCCATGAAAAGATCACGGCGGAGGGTTTTTGCAGGAGGGGAAAAAGAAAACACAGACACAATGAATCATCGATCCCCTAGAAATAAATGAGAAATGAGAATATGGGAAGAGAGGGGGGGGGAAGACAAAAAACAACCCAAAAAATATGGGGAAATGTTGGGAATCCTGCGACTTGTGTCCACTTGCCAGATTTTTTCGGCCTCCGCGGGTGCCCTTCCTGGGCCTCGGGAGCCTCAAGAGAGAGCTCAGCATAAGATGCGGGTCCTCCTCCTCCTCCTCCTCCTCCTCCTCCTCCTCCTCCCCAGGAAGGGGGTCGAGGCCTCAGGGGGTCCAGGCAGCGGAGGACCGCGGGCCCCCAACCTTCGAGTAGAAGATCGACTGCAAAGTCGAGTCGAGCCGAGTCCACGGAGAACGTGCAGAGTGTCCGCAGATCTGCTAAAACTATGCACATTGCTCATTTCTCATGATTCGGAAGTTCTTTGATTGTTGGGAGGGGCCTAGGTCCTTTCATTTCTAGTTCTTCCATCCTGGGCCTCTTCCTGGCCACTAGAGAACCAGGAACACATAGAAACGAGCACAATTAGAAATGAGCACAATTAGAAATGAACGACGTGTAAGTGTTTGGTCGATTCGGCGAAAAAGCTCGATGTTGGGGCGGATCTCAGGTCTGAAGTCGATCGCCCACCCGAAAACTCAGAGGAGGAAAAAATACACACATGGCACGGGTGTTCGCGGTTCGGTCGGTTCGGTTGCGTCACAGTCGGTTGCGTTCGGTCGGTTCGGTTCGGTCGGTGATTGTGTCATTGTCGCGTCGTTGCGCCCTTCTGAGCTGCATTCCGCTTGTGGATTTTGGTAGGTTTCGGTTTCGTTGTCGGTTCGGTCGGTTTTCGGTTTTGCTGTCGCCGCTCACGGAGTCCAGGCCTCCCAAAATGGGGTCCGAGCATATGGAGTCGGAGGATCGCGCCGCATCGGCGATGCATCCCCGATGAATCGAGGATGCAACTCAGTGTGGCGCCCGATTCTCCGCGTCGACGTCGGCGATGCATCTCCGCCGCATTGCCGACGCATCGGCGATGCATCGGCGATGCGGCGCGATCCTCCTACCCCACCTGCTCCGACCTCATCTGCGAGGCCTCTGGTGTCAAGTCGGGCACGTTCCTCTACAGGAGTCATATTCAGGAATAATAGAACAATTGTCTGGTCGCGATTTGTCGTGCTCTCTGTGATTATTTCTGCATCTCCTGTTGGCATTTTTCCAGAAAGTGCATAGGCCCAGAGTTATCGTTTAGCTCTTTACCCCCGGAATCGACTTGCGCAGGGCCGGCGAATTTCCGCTCGCTTAAAAATATGTGAAGTCCAATTCGGCGTGGAAGAAATGCATTTCGCGCGTGCCCGATCGAGGAAAACGTGTCCCTGCAT